TGATTAGATGTTGCCCCCAGAGCAACCTGGTCTTGATGATGCTGCAAGGGTTTGAACCAGAAGGCTGCCACAGTCCCTTCCAACCTGAATTGTTTGATGATTCTATGATCATTCCCAAGAAAACAACAGAACGTAACCAATAACAAAGAACAAACTGAAACACCAAATTTCAGTTATGGATGATTTAGAAAACTAAATTGCATTTTCTTGATCAAATGAAATCCAGCAGTGTAAAAGGACAAAGCTTCTCATAATATTTAGAATGACAGATTCATTTTGTATCTAAACAGGCTCTATTTTACTTAAGATGCCTGCGTCAAAGTCTGTCTGGTTATGTAACATTAGTTAAAAGTTAAAAAACGAAACAAAAAAGTTGACATATGTCTAGAAATTAAATTCTCCAAAAATAGTCAGAGAAGATTTCAAAAATCATTTTGAGGAAAACAAATATACTAACAAGTCTACTTTACATCCTCTTGTAATTAAAACTGGCAATTATTTGTGCAAAATCCAGTAAAAATAACAAAAAATATCAGAGACTAAACAGGTTTTGCATTTGTAGTGTTGCCAGTGGAATCATCCTATCTAGGCAGCTGTCATTTATAAACCAACACGTTTCACTGTATAGGTGAAACTGTGATGTGTAAGCTAACACATCACTAGCTACAAATGGTTTCTAAGCAATTTGAACCAGCAAGGGAAATGTCACTAATAAATACTGAATATTGCAGTTTATCAAGTGATCAAAGCTTACAGCTCCAGCAATTTATTTTGTTGGTTCAGATTTCATTTTCCCTTGCTTTATATGGTATTGACTGTACCACGCTGGGCATCACTAAGCTAGGTGTTGTGCAAGAAATAAAAAAAATTATAGATTCTATAAGAAGAACCAAGTCATATCAGCAATTACAGTGCAAAGCACAAAATAAGTAACCCTCTGTAACAAAAGCAAGAGCTGCCTCACACAATCTGAACCTAATTCTTTGGTCATGAAAGCAATTATGAAACTCCTGTAATAATTCTTTGCATATTGAAAAAGTATCACAGCATTATCATAGAGGAAAAAACTCTGAAGCTCATCACAATAGCTGTATAGCTATTTAAACCGCTGTTAAGAGCCAGTCCTTTTAGAAAGTTTACAAACAAGTATTCAGGCAATTTAAGTATCAGATAAGCAAACAAGAATGCTTAGTAAGATGTATAATGTGTTTATCTAAGAACTGTACTGAAATAATTAATAACAGAAACAGCGACCCACAATAGCTGCTGCCTGCATGTCAATAAAGTCTTGTTTAGAGACAAAGCAGAATACATTACTCAATTCTGCAGTTGTTATGCTTAGCAAACAAAAACTTGGGCTTTGCGTTCCCCATTTCCTTTGTGTTTTTGGTGGGTTTGGGGGGGGGTGTTGTTATACTTTTTTTTTTTTAAATTAAAGAACTGACATTCTACATCATACTCATATTTCTCAAAGCAGTGCAGCACAGCATCCATTTTGAAACAGCTTCAGATTGAATTAGAGGACCTTTAAAAAAGAAAACCAAAACCATAAAATCACATAGTATACCACAGCTACATTTCACTAAGAACAAGAGCAAGAATGTCTGGTGGAAAATTCTACTTTAAAACAAATCAGAATTAAAATCTCCAAAGCCAGATTCACGATGGTTAGCAGCACAGACTCAGGCAACCTCATCTCTTTTTGTTTCCTTTCTCTGTGAGCAAAACCAACATGGACAATTCTTATTTTGCCCTTCACTGGGGCTGGGAGAATTGATATCAGACAAGGAAGGTTCCAGTTTGTGGATATCACTGCTATGGTATTCACTGCTCAGAACTGTTAGGTCCCATCTTTTCATTTACCCATTCAAAATTAAAGATGAAGGTTACGATGAGTTAGTTTTTAAACACTGACATTTTTATCCAACCATCTTGCCTTTTTTTAAATGCCATCTAGTAAAGAATTTCAAAGGGCTCAGCTTCTTTAATGAGGCATTAAAATACAGTCATACGACAAAAAAGCAACTCTACTAAGTCTCTTAAACCCCTGGACTTACATTATCAGCTTTTATGTGCCTGTCAACACTCAACAGCAAGAAGCAATGGTTTGCTCTTTGCCTCGAATTTAAAAGCCAGCTAAACTTCCTCTCACTTTCCTGCTGAGAGCTTTAACTCCTTGCAAACTGTCAAAGCTTTGACACTTCAGCAGCAGGTAAATCTAAGACATGATGTAACAGCCAGGTGTACTCTCAATCAAGCACTGGCCACTAATTTACTAGTGGCTATTTAATTCACCTCAAAAAGCAATAAACTAGAAATACTTCCCCCCCCTCCACATACCCACACTGCTTGCAGATCAGCCCTTTAAATAGATATTAGCCCTGTCAAAGAACCAGGCACAGTTAACTTTCAACTTGAAAGAAGTGAAACATTTAAAATTGTAGAGATGTCAACGTATGGCTAAAATGCAAATGCATTTCCAATCCAGAAGCTAACGTAATAGTGCAGCATTTTTCAAGAAAAGTACATGCAAAGCGTTAAATACTAGAACTTCTTTAACCAGAACATTTCTCTGAATATCCACAGCCTGGATGTGGCATTCAGTGTAAAAGCTAATTGACATAAAGCCCATTATTAATTCATTTTACAAAGGTGCCAAGCTAAGTGCAGCTGTGGAAGAATAAGATTTGGACAATTTGCTTAGTAGAAAATGTGAAGTTCACAGCTGAGAAGCCCTATATTCTGTTTGGTATAAGCTAAAATATTTACACCATTATTTTACTGTACAGAAAAACAGTGACTGCACAGATAAGCCATGCTGTTTCTTTACCAAAAAAAAATGAGATACAGACTTAAAATGAGATCCTTGATATACTACACATAACAGCAGTATACTGAAAAACGATCCTTTCCCTTTTCTTCTGCTCTTTTCACACCATAATTCCACAGTATACAAAACCCCTATTTAAGTCTCCTAACCTTGATAAGGACTTGATACCATTCTCATTCAGGTGAATGGAAAATGATCTCATAATTAACTTCAAAGATGCATGACTAAGGCACCAAGTGCCAAAGCTACAGGACAGTATTTTAGTAATTTATTTATGAAAATATTAGGTGGTTTTTTTCACAATGCTATTTTTTTTTTAATTTTCAAAAAACTTTTTTTTTTTTCTTGTGACAGGAAAAAAGATAGCTTTGTCTAAAGATCAACCATTTCAGCTGAGAATGCACAACATTGAGACAGCTCTCCCACTCTCCTCACTCCAGGCATTTGCTGGGGTAGTAGCCACAAGGTACTATACAGAAGTTACAAATACATTTATGGTTTCAAAGGGGGAGATGAATGAATTAAAAGAAAGCTATCTGAGGTTCTGCCAATGTTGGCTTGTCTCCTTTTTTCAAATATCTTAAATACAGCCTGGCATGGGATTTTGTCTCATCACTAGAAGGACTTCAATGGACTTCAAATGCCAAACAAATCCTTTGACTCACTGTGTCAAACCCCAAGGGAAACACTTGACAGCAGGAAATATAAGAACAAGAATGCCAAGAGTTAAAAAGTTAAGTTGGACTGATTCAGCATTCAGATCAAACGACTACAGTTACTCTGAGATTATTAATGAGTACTCCAAGCAACCGGAGGCTCTGACGCAGACAAGAACCTGCACATCACAGGCATTCCAGGAACCCTGGCTTGTCTTCTCTGGAACAAAACCTTAGCAAAATGCACACTCCCTCCTGCTTTAAAAGCATGGCACCTCTCATTGCCTCTCTGTCCACAAACACAAGACTGAAAGCCACAAAATACTTCCTTCATCAAGGTTATGATCTGCAGAAATTTTTCCTGAAATTCTTGCAAATCTCTTAGCATCTGTAGTACCTTTTAAAACATTGCACACAAAAAGTCTTTCACAATCTCAACAGACAACCAAAGTAATGAAAAAACAAAACAGACACAAGAAGAGACAACAAGTCTTCTCACCTGCTGCAACTTCAAATACAGATTTTTGGAGATGGTAGAATGAATACAATGATGCTTCAAGCAACGATAACAGAACCTTGTTAGTTCAAACGGAAAGGGAAGGGCTTTTTTAACTGAGCATAAAACATGGGTGGGAAATATTAGGAAAAGACAGTGTGAACCATATATTTCAGAAAGACAGAGTCAACACCATCCAATTTTCGTCTTACTTAAAACTGTTTAACAACCAATTAATAAAACTTGATACACAGGGATAACCATGTCCAAATGTAGATTAAAAGTAGCAATTTTATACAGTTTAGGTACGTAGCAAAATAATCCCCAACAGTTTTTGAAGAGCAAACTCAATAGCAGAAGTTATTAAAACTGCTAATTTTTGAATCCTTTTTCCAGATAGAATGGTAGGTGGCAGATATTCCTACAGATACCAAAAGCCGTCTCTAGGGGATCTAGAAATAAACAGTCTTCCTAATAAGGTTTTTAACTGGCCTCAGTATTTTTCATGTTATCAATGCAAACACCACACTTCCAATGCAACCTGAATTTGGTGGGGTGGGGCAGCAAGGGGACATGTAATAAATAATTTATTACTGTAAAATCTCATTGAATAAATGTTTAAGCTTTAAAATTCAGCCATCTTGAAATATAGCCAATTTAAACAAAAAATAATTCAGGATAATTTTAGATCCAACATTCACCCAAGTCTTCTGGAAACTTTCCTGTGGTTTTACAATCATTTCCTCTAGTCACCTTTCACTGCTCGTCTGAAGACCTGCACAAGCATGTTGGGGAAGAGAAAAAGAGAGGTGACCAGTTCTCCAGAGAAAACCAAGATAATTACCATGACCTTGGCTTTATACTGTGCATACATAAATGATTAAAAGAATTCAGACATAAAACTGCTTGGCACTAGTGTAGTTCCACTGCCAGTCACTGCATCTCCTATAGTAAATAGAAGGTGAAATAATTTGGCATAGGTAGAGATTTTTACATTAGGAATGTAAAACAATCTTACCAAAAGTAACTTCTCCTTTGCCAGTCTTGTCAAACAGCTGAAAGGCTACTATGAACAATGCATCTGGAGCACACAGGACTGATTCAAATGCCACAAACTCTTGAAAGGATATCAACCTAAGGGATGAAGTAAAAAGCAAGAGCTATGAAACCACTTGCTTGCAGAATACTGAAATACAATATAACATACATTATACAAAAGAAATAAGATTACAACCAAAATGTGTACAAACTGTTATCAATAGGGATTAAAATGGAACCTAAAATGCCCTATCCTCAATGCTTTCAGGAGGCCTTTATATCACTAGACGGAAATGTCTGTTAGACAAGGAATTATTACTCTTAGCAAGTCACAACAGAACATAAGCAAAACACTCAGTGTGGCTACTCACCTCAGCTTTAATGCCTAACTGAACTGCCCTCTGGGGGAGCATGCCTCTCTCCACTGGCAAGACAGAGGTAATAAAGACATGAGTAACTCCCCTCAAGACTCAGTACTTAGGGCTTTTGGAAAGCAAATCCATTCAAGACCTACATGCTGCCACTCACTTTAGAAGGAACCGATCAGAATGCATTATCTGTTTGCTAGCAACTTATTAGTCATCCATCACAGCCCTCCAGTCCTGCGTGTTGAGTCATTAATTTCAAGTAGTAGTCTGCATATTCTTCCTTAGCCCAAGAGCAGCTTATTCAAATTCATCATTACAGCCAGGTTCCCCATATGCAAGCACAGTAGCAGAGCACAGATAAAAGCAGAGATGCCCTTCCTTAAGTTAGTTCATAAGCAGAAATACTTAACTAGACAACCTGGCATTGTTTCCAGCAGTAGATTTGATACAGCAAAGACCTTGAGCTGTTCTAATTTCCCTGGGTCACACCCAAGAGTTCAAATGGAGATCAGACTCCTACTCTTAAAGAGGCAAAGGCCAACCATTCTTCTGTTTTGCTACTTCTTTAATGTCTAGGTTGTACAGCTTAAAATCTTCAAATGTGTGGCTGCAGGGCCTGCTGGCAGTCTGGGAGACTTAAGATTGCCCTCTCTCAGGCTGCTGTATGTCAGTGTAGCCAGCGTGTAGCTTTAATGGGTTCACATGGCAGCACCCGGAGAACAAAGATTTATTTCTGAGAAGCACAAAATTTAGTGTACCAAATGTCAAGAAAAAACAAAACCCCTTGGGACTTTGACTCAAAACAATACTGCAGCCAGTTCAATGAAAACTTATACTCAGCATGCAGTAACAGTGAAGAACCGAGGGCTTCAACAGGTTGGAAAAGACATTCGTTCCATCAAGTTATGATGACCCATGACTATACAGCAATTTCCAGTCACCCTGTCTTAAAGAATTAATTTCAAGTCACACAGAAGTGTGCTTGCTGCATGTCAGCAGCCAAACATCCACTGGGTAAGAAAAGGTGACTTCCATGAGGAACATAAAAACACGAGACGATGAACAAAAGAGGACATTTTTTTAAAAGCACAGCACAGAGAAGGCCTAAAAGCTGTTCTACGTTACCTCCCTCAATATATATGCATAAATAAAAGTAAAAGAAATGTAGAGTTTAACAATTAACTCTGAGAACTTGCCACCATAGGTTATTACATAGTGAGAGAAGTAAATAAAAAGAAACCTCCTCAGGTATTCTTAAGATTAAACTCACAATTGACGATGCCAGCAAACATATAAGCAGGCCTTAGGCTTTACTGGCAAAGAAGTCAGTGACTTATTACATATGCGCATTTTAGCACACGGGAAGCCATCAAATGGTTTACTTTAAACTCCTTGGGAACTCTCAGTAATAAGAATAATAATAATATAATAATATATACTCAGCCTTTAAAAGGAAGAAAACTTCCATCTCTTCTAAACTAATTTTTTTCAAAAGTAACATTTCCTTCAATTTTATACCAATATATCACAACCTATTTACGCATATTTACTGTTACAATGTGACTTACAGTCTATAAAAGGTCATTATTAGTCATTATTATTGGTTACATACCTGACAGAACAGTAAAAAGATGCAAAGCACTGAGTTCTGTCCCAAAGATTATAATGCACACACAGAGAAAGAACAGAACAGAACAGACAGCAGGTGACAAGACTCTAGAACAGGACTGTTTAGAATTATAAATGTACAATCTTTGTCAACACCATTATGGTAAAGCTGTTTTCTGTGTGAAACAACAACTAGTGCATGTCCTTACCAATGGATCCCAACACAGTGATGAGAACACAGAAAACAAATACAGCACCTATACCAGTAGAATCCCACCACCATGCTAAGAACATGCTACTATGCTACTAGGCCTGGATTTGATTAAAACTCCATGTATTAACACTGCTACAAGATTTTATACTGGTAGAAGCACTCTTTTTCAGTACTTGGAAGCAATAATCCCCATATTAAGTCACAGATAGATGCTTAAAATAACCCTTTATCTATTTTTTAAAACAGTTATTCACAGTACTAGGAATATTAAAAGTGTACAAATTGTGTGGCTCTAGCCAGACTGTTAAAGAAGAGACATTAATATCTGCTGTGCCAGCTGAATTCAAATTAACCCAATTTTTACATGTTAATTAAACCAGCTATTTTCTTCTTATTGTATTTTTGCTCCCTAAGTAGACTAGCCTGCTAGTGATTCCCAACAGATCTATTCTAACAACGACGTATTCATTTACTTCTATTATGACCATACAATACAGTAACTGAGCAGTAATTTTTCACAGTCAATTACACGTGTGATTCTTAATGCTTAAAGATGCTGAAATAATGTGTACTACATAGCCATATGCTCACTTCTCTATAGTGCACAAGGGTAGTTGCCTGGGTAACACATTTTCTCTCCAGTTTAGCATCACCCTTTTGGGTTTACCATAGCCCTTCACTGAATAACATTAGGTGTCATTAAACAGCACATATTAACATGGACTTCAATATACTACTTAAGTAGTATATTTTATCTACCTAAAGAAGTACTCATTTATGTTACAAAAGCAGAGAAAAACCCAGTGATTTTAACAGCACAAAGAGAGGAAGCTGAAATGTTTACGAAATTTTATCTCAGTTTTGAAGATATTCTACCCAAATGGTCAAAGTCTTCCTTCACCTTCACATCCTCATTATCAGTGTCAATACTGCATGATTTATTCAGGAAGACTCAGATCTTGATATTTTAAAAGCATCCACACACAAGAGCTTCAGTCCAAACACAACAACTGGGTATGGTGCAGCAAACCCACTATTTTACTGCTCTCTCCTTTCTTCCATGCTGCTTCTTTTGATGCTCACGCCTGTGGCATCTGGACATCACATAGACATGATGCATTCCCACCCGAAAAAGTCCGCATATAGCCATGCAAAGAAAAAAAGCCACTACCCACTGTAATAAAACATACAAATGCAATGATGAAGAGTTTTCTTCAGAAATCAATGCATATGTTTTTACTGTATCAGCAATTTAAACACGGTAACATAATGGGACACAAATTGAAGCGACATCTATTATTTTACACTGCAAGCTAGGTAAACTAAGTATAGTGCAAATTGGTCCATTAGAGGATAAATTTATACCAAATAATAATGAAAAATGCTGGCATTTCCAAGTGTTATTTTTGAATACTTTGTCCTTTCTAAAAATAAAGCAATGGTATTTCTCAGTAAAGTGTTAGTTACTACAGTCCAAATAGAGACATGCAGTAAATACTTATTTTGTTAGAGACATGTTTAAAAGTAAAACAAAAAATTGAAAAACAATGTTACAGTAGGCAGGACGGAAAATGCCTGGCCTGTTGCTGGCGGGCCTTGAGAAAGCCACTGTATTCTGGGGGAATTTCTGATCCAGCTGAAGCCAAATAAAGCATATTTTTAAACTAAGATTAGCAATGAGGCCAGGAACCAGTCAAGGCTCTTCAATCTGTTTTATACAAACAACAACCATGCAATATAACACTTTAAAAACCCTGTGTTATTACCAATCAACTACTTTGAAAGGTTCATCTGGCCATCGGCAAGGTAACTATTTCCTTTTCTTAGGGGAAACCTTAAAATCATGCCTTCAGAAGAGAACAGCAGGAAAGCCTACCTCCAAATAAACCTCTGCCCTGACTTAAGATGGAGGCAAAACTTGCTCCCATGGCAACAGATATTCACTGAATGACAGAATATGCTTTAAGAGGTCTTGTACCTTTGTCACAACAACAGCAGCTCCTGTAGATACGCTCAAATCCTTAATCTCTGGCAATACAGGAATTGTGCTAAAGCTACATGAGATTTTGTCTACAGTACACTGTGGGATTTTATGTAAGAGCTGCTGTTCTTTCCACTTTACACTCAGAACTTCTTCAACTCTGGGGTAAGCAATTCTTTGCCCATTTATATCCTCTGCTCATGAGTCAGAAGCTGTTGAGCTGTCTGTCTTGCACCTGTGCGACTTACCAAGTTTAGTATTTCACACTGATTACACTTGGTACCTCTACCTACCTTCTCACCAAAATGAGAAGAAATTGAAAAGCATTCTAAAGAATGCAAGGAACAGCCTTTGTGATCCTGGCTCAGACCCTTTTAGTGACAAGTGGTCATGCTCATCAGTCATGAAAAACACCTGCTTCTTCAGAGCAAACCAGGGATCCAAGACAGTGGATAAAATGCTTCTAGAAATATCACAGCAGTGTTCTCAGAACTAAACTACTTTTAGCCACTAACACTGTAACAAAATTAACTTGTCATTGCTCTTGCAAGATACTTTCTATTTTATACTAAAGCTAAATTATTGAACATACTTTCATGACCTTGAATATGTGTAAGTCTCTAAACACCGACAAGCCTACTAAAAATGAACACTAACAAAAGCCGTTTTGTGCTTCACCTTAAAAACTGGGAGCTCTGGCCTGCCAAGTTGGAAAGCATTCAAAAGAAGACTAATACATCCTCTAGGAGGACGTCCTCCTAGACGTTTTCACCTCTAGGAGATTTCATGCCAGGAACCAAAAAGCAACTGGCCCTTGTCTCAGAGGATCACTCTGTCAATTACATTATACACCACAAGAACAAGATGCAAATGCAGACTAAACAGATGGATGCCAATCACTTTCCAAACTTTCTCCATTCTTTCATATATTAGTGTAGCAGCTAAATAAAAAGACAGCCTGAACATCAGAAGAGACTCTCCAAAGACACATTGGGAACATGCAGTCCCCTGTCACTGCACAGTGTGGATTACAGAAACAATCCTTGCCCATAGCAGAAAGCAGCAATTAGAAGCCTCAATACTCCACCACAAAACTCCCACAAGATCATGCCAAGTTATGAAATCCCAACTTGTCAACAAGTTCACATAGGCTACAGTTTTACATTTTGTTCTTCCTGACACCAGCTTCTGTTTGTGAGGGAGATCCAAATCACAAGGTATGGATTATGCTCTCAATCTTCTTATTACAAAACGGATTTGAAGCCATGTAATTTGGAAAATGACATTTTTGCAGGCATCAAACCAAGGGAAGAAATCTGAGAAATGCTTAATGTTTTCAGTCAAACATTACCTGAAGCCACTGCTTTCTTGATGCCATCAGTGTTATCAACATAACCTTTTACAGAAATCTTTTACTAGAGTAACAATCACCACATTAACTCATCTGCAAGGTTTAAGGTGCCCAGCTGAACAGAAAAGAGAGCACAGAAACTACTGCAGAAGTTCTCAGTTATCCCTAAGAAGCCTGCATTCTCTAGTCATACTTTATTTATCTCACATTTTACTCTCTGCAACCACTGATATGAGTCATGCCTGAAGTTTTCTGGTTTCTAAAAATGCCACTACTATACACTTTAAGACCACAGCTAATTATTCTAAAGTTTCTCTAAGGATACTTTAAAGGGAGGGTTCAAAAAATGCATTCATATGGGTGAAGAGACAACTTGCCTGGGCAAGTACCAAAAGCAAAAGCTAAGATTTCATTTAAGTAGGGGGAGAAAGATGGAGGGGTAGCTGATCTTGCCCATTGGCAAAGTCAGCCTTTCAAATGCAAACCATGTGCAACCAACTTCACTGCTGTCTTCTCAAGTCTGCAGAGTGACTCCCTAAATACCTTAGATGCTCCTCCTCCCTCTTGAAGGAAAAAAACAGCAGCAAAAAAACCTTTAACAGAGCCATGGCAAAATAAAGCAGGGTAACTTTTTCTAGGATCTCTTCCTACACCATCTAAACTTATTTTAGATTGCAATTTGGATGTGTTTGTGACAGATACATAAAGTAAACAGAGACAGAAAGACTCATGGAAGGAAAGAAAAGCAGGAGTTAGGGGAGCCAGCCAACAAACATGAAAGGTTCCGTGAATTAAAAATACATAGTAGACAGAAAATGGTTTGAGTCGCTAAATGGTAGGTGCTGTTGAAAACATTGTTTCTACTCTTGATACTTAGAAGATACTGTATTCCTTTATGCATCTGCGAGGAGGGGGCAGTGAAAACCAAAACACCACCCTTCAGGGATTAGACTTCTCAGAAGAATGGTTTTCAATTTTAAAAATGAACAAAGAAAAACAGAAAAAGAAAAGTAAACCAATCAACTACCAAAAAAAGAAAAAAGAAGCAAAACAAAAAAATAAACCCAAAACCAACCAAACAAAAAAGAACCCAAACAAAAAAACCCTCACCTAAACAAACAAAAACAAAATCACAAAAAAACACTTACCCATCTTTTGTCTGATCCACCACACCTGCAAGGAGCTGTACAGTGCTTGCATTAGGCAAACCATCTCCAATTATCTTCAGGTATCGGGTGACAAAGTCATGAGGAGACATGAAGAATTCTCCATTCTTCTCCACACTTGCATACTGTTAAAAGAATACAATATTTAGTGCCTCAATACATCCTTCTCCAGGCATTTATTACCACCACCCATGGTTTCCAGTCAGGAGCAGGCCTATGTTACAGCAGATGACAGTTCTGCTCCAAAGAACCTACAACCTAGACGCAAACAAGGTCTAGAAAAAGGGGGAAACACTCAGGAAGCTGAAGACTTGGCTTCCTAGCCAAAGAATCACAAATATATGATTTTTTGGTTATCAGGTCAACAATTTCTCCATGGTAGACTAGAAATGCTCCAGTATTGAATACTTCTTTTGAAGTAGAACAAGAAGCACACACACATTTCCAAGCATTGTATGTGGAATCTCAGGACCACTGAAACTCTGACATCAACAGGATACTCTGGCATATCTTATTTATCTGAAATTACTTCTGTGTGCAGTCACTCTACTCCAGGACAAGGCAGAGTTACAGCCCTGAAATGCCAGTGGAGCAAATGATCCCACAAGAGCGTCCACCTGGGGGTGCTGTTTTGAAGAACTCCACCTCACCACCTCCAGCCACAGCTGGTCCCTAAGGAAAGGAGAATCTACAGATACTCCTCTTTGGTTGAAATGCTGAAAGGAAGCCAAAGAATAGAATTTACAGAAAAATGTAAAGAAAACAAGAACTTTGACAGTTCAGCACACTAAGAAAAAAGAAAAGAGGTCTAACACCTCACCAAACACCACTGGCATAAATTACTCCTGCTTTACACCACAGTTACTGGCATACTACTCCAGAAAACAGCTATTGACAGACCTAAGCATATTTACTCCAAAGGGAAGCCTCCAGTAATATGTTACAAACAAAAGTAATACTAACACTTTTGAAGATAATATCTAAATAAATAAATACAATTCCCTTTGTTACCACCCCAACACTGATTCCTAGGTCATCCCTCAAATTTTAAAGCCCTCATTTTCTGCAGAAGGTTAAATTTGAAATCAACTCTAAAAATGTATTTCTAGTAAAGAAAAAGGATAAGGACAACAATTAAGAGGAAGAAAATGAAGAGGCATTTGCAGAACCATGTGTTAGCTTTAAAAGGAAACAGGTCTGTCTTGGGATAACAAATGTACACTGAGAACAGGAAAGAAACTGCTAATTTCTCTTTTCTTTCTTTTTTTTTTTTTTAAGGCAAGGTAGGATGATAAACCATTGTTGCAGCTCCCCATAGAGCATTATCCACAGTAAAGTAATAAATAAATTAGATGCCTACTGCTATTTTGTAGTGTACTTCAAAGACATGTTTTCTTTCACATTACTATGGCTCTGCTAAGGGAAGAAAACTGCCAGTTTTCATTTCTTACCGGTGCCTGCAGCATACCGTTATACCTGCTGTAGGCATATAACTCTCAGAGGGATGCCAAAGTGTAACAGTAAGTAGATTATTTTCTTATAGTGCTATATAAATACCATTTTCAGGTACAACAATATCTTCAAGAAACAAGGCTTCAGAGAATCAAGCCCAAACAAAACATAACTTGCTTTGGCATCTATATATTGGTTAGCGCTTAAGGATTCCTTTTTCAATAGACACTGTAACGCAAACTTTCTAGTTTCTACACTGCAAGGAATTTTGAATTGTATACTTTTGAAAGAACTAAAAGATCAATTGATTTCAATGTAATCATTTGCAGAAAGACAGAATCCTTCAGAATCCCAGCCTTAGAAACTTTTAACACAGCAGCTATTGAGAAACAAATCAAATAAGTCAGACAGTCTATCCTTCTATATTTCATTTTTTTCATCCAGGCTAACCCCCTGCTAGGGCACTCAATAACAGAAAACAGCACAAGGTTTCAGGTCCCCCTGTTTCTTGCCATTGTGATTTACTCGAGTGTATTTGAAATCCAATCATGTACTCTCTACTACCTATAGAAAATGACCTTGAAAAATGTCAGCTTGATCACTTTGACTAAAATCTAATCTCTTAGGGGTTATGGTAGAAGACTTAGAAAAAGTAGAGGTACTCCTGGAAATTATCATAACAGGAAAAAAAAAACGAACATCAATTCTATTGGGTTTGGAGGAGAAACATTTAAAAATTGGTTCTTTATAATTTTAGTTTTCCCCACTTTGGCAATTACACCCACAGAGAATTTGATATTATACAATAGTACGTAACAGCTTTTTGGTAACTTATTTACATACATTTTAGATAGTCAAGTAATAACAAGTTCAATCCCATTTAAAGTAAGATTTGCAAATATTTTATCGGGGGTTTGACATATTAAATATGCTAAAAGTTGACTGCAATCAACTGTATTTAAGCTGATTGTTTCATACTTATTTCCACACTGTGGGTATCACTCCTTCATGGTGATCATATTTTTTAATTCTTAATTGAAGTAGAAGTAATGGTTGTCAAGTTATTTTGTAAGTGAAGATCCCACTATCTGCAGAAGCAACTGTATTGGCCTCACCACTTAAAATCATCTGAAGCAGCTTAATTAACACTGGCCATCATTTATCTGTAGAGCATGAAACAACATACCACATTCACTCATGCTTTTTCCTTCTCACTAGTAAGTGGCACAACAATTCTGTATTACACTGAACAAAATGTTTAGCTCATATTCCATTACTCCATGTTACTGAGACTCCTTCTTTTCAGTGAAAGGGGAAGCAGAAAAGGAAGAAAAAGAAGCCAGAGGTGGCATTTAGTGTGCTCAAGTAAGACCCATTCAATCCACCGAAACAGTGAGGGTGCTACAACCTTCAGAAACGCCCACAGGCAGGTAGGAAACAATTTTCACACTATTCTCGGCAAACCAACTAGCCAACCTCCCCCCGCTCCAAATGAGCATCACCTCATATTGCAGAAGGGACCAGGCTTCTCTCTAGTGTGTTTATTTCTTCTCTCACTGCTACCATCTTCTCAGGTCAATGGTCTACTGTGTGCCTTATCTGCTGCCCTGCTCCTGCTCTTTAAGCATACACCTCTGTAAATCACATAACCCATTCTTTTTCAAGAGTCTTTTTGCTCTCCTGACAGACAGAAGATTCCAGGACTTAATAAGTTAAATTGTAGCTTTCTCAACTAAAAATCTGATTTCAGAGCTATAAATACTGACAGTATATGATAAAACTATAAATACTGGCAATATACATTCTGACACCTACACATATTGTTAAGAATAGCTCATAAGGGACAATGGAAAACATACCAAGAAGTACATGGAGAGTGGGGCATGATACTGGAGAGAGCGAAGGTGGAGAGAAGAACTCGGAAATGTAGGAGCTCTCTTAGGCACTCAACACCTTCATAAAAATAATTCAGATACAACAGCTCTCTACAGCACTGTGGCACCTACCTCGCATACATTATTCAGGACCACCAATTTCTGTACTCTTTTTTTTCATACCAGAATACCAAGCTAATATAGATACTGTACTAATAAATCTTAGGAAGGCTAGGAATAGTTATTTAAATTTAGGAAACAGGTCAAAGAAAGTCAGTTTCACAGAATCATACAATAACTTGGTTTGGGTTAGAAGGGACCTTAAAGATCATCTAGTTCCAACCTTCCTGCCAGGAGCAAATACATCTTCCATTAGGCCAGGTTACTCAAAGCCCAATTCAACCTGGCCTTGAACACTTCCAGGGATGGGGCATCCACAACTTCTCTGGGCAACCTCTTCCAGGGTCTTACCACCCTCACAGTAAGAATTTCTTCCTAATATCTAATCTAAACCTACTCTCTTTCGGTTTAAAGTCATTCCCCCTTGTCCTCTCACTACATGTCCTTGTAAAGTGGCCCTCTCCACATTACTTGCAGACCCTCTTCAGGTACTGGAAGGCCGCAGTAAGATCTCCCTGGAGTCTCTTCTTCTCCAGGCTGAACGATCATAACTCTCAGTCTGTCTTCATAGGAGAGCTTCTTCAGCCCTCTGAGCATCTCTGTGACCCTTCTCTGGATTCACTCCAACAGGTTCATATCCTTCTTGTGTTGAAGGCCCCAGAGCTGGATGCAGTACTTCAAGTGGGGTCTCAGAGGAATGGAGTAGAGTTGGATAATCACATCCCAGCTTCCAGCAAAATACTAAAGCACACTTCCCTCAAGTACACAAGCAAGTAAATGAGTCATTTCTTTACTTGCATACTTCTACAGCAGGCCAACACAGAAAGAATTTTAGTCATATAATAAATACGGCCAGCACTTCCCAATACTTCTAGAAATTAGAGAAGCAGAGATAACTGTAAAGGAAGAAAGGAAACAAGGATGGAATAAGAAAATTTACCAAATGGTCTAACAGCAAGGTGTCTACACAAACATTTTACCACGTATAGGAACAATACCGAAACTCCCACCACATTCTCTGAACAATGAGGGTTTTTTCTAAGATAGCAATACTTCTTCTGAGTCAATACAATAATCACTCAGGAATGTATGTGGCTTCTTGGTGAGCATTGTTCAATTCTGATAATGGTATTTAAGTCTAACATGGTAATAATACAGAGAATGATTAATGGTTGGAAAAAATATCAAGAGTTGTATGCTGCAATAATAGAGCAAAAGATACGAAAAATTTAAGCAGAAAGAGTAAAATATTTACTTTACACATACCTTCAAAAATATTGTTTTCAACTCAGCTGGATCAGCTCTCTTGGTTAGAGCCACCTACAAGTAAATACAATTACATTAATATGCATAATTTATATAAAAGATGTCAAAGTGTCATTTAAAAAGAACTCAAACAACAGAACGAGTGAGGAAAATAAATGTTCACCTTACATAAATTAGGTACTGCTTTAGCTGGCCATGTTTATTTTACTCATTTCACACTTTACGTAAAGATATTCAAGATTTTTGTTCTAACTGCTTTCTTTATGCAATCCTGCAATTCTTAAACAAGCACACAGTAACAAGTCATAAAGACATTCAAGAATCAAATCTTTACAACATACCTCTCTGCTGGGATGCAGCATTACACCATCTTTACCATACAGATTTTTACGCTTCCAGCACCTTTCACCTAAGGATTTCAGAGTACCATACACAGCCCACAACTGATAAATGGCAAGAATAAAATACTCTTACAAACTTTTCCAAGAAAGCAGCTCCATAAAAGACTGAATTTCAATGTATTTATCTGGTTTATTACTTCCAACATTTTAAACTTACAGTGTAGATCTTTCTGATGAGGTGAATTCAGAACACAGAGTATCTGGATTTTCTGCAGATCAGACAACTAGCCAGTTCCAACTAAAATCTAAGTTACATTTACCACCACAAACCCAAAATAGTTACACTCTTTTGTCCCAAAACACTGAATCAAAAAATATTCAACTCACTATGGATTAAGTCCATCAGTATTATCATGGTTGACACACCATACAATCCATTTGCTGCTTTTGGCAGTAAGTGGATTCATCCCCTCGGTCTGTGCCTGCTATAGAGTTTCCCTTTCCTTCTTCAGGATACTTTGATAAAATCTTGCTTGCCAGCATAATAACCATCATCATCAAAGTCAATACAGAACATCAACCTATTTCTAATAAAAAGTAAATTACTTTGTAAGCAGACCTGGATTTTTAAAAAAATTGGGAAAACATCTCTGTAATGAGGAATAAACAGCCAAAGGGCAAGACATAAAATCTTACCCCCACCTAAGAATTAGACATCAGAAACGTTATCAATAAAACACTATCTCCCTTTCTGACTCTTAAGAGCAATGTAGACTGTAAAGGCAAATGTGACTGCAAGTGCATTTCTAGTGTCAGTCTGTACAACAGCATTACATCCTCACACGTATATTTAATAAAGAATCTTTAGTAAGCTTTTCCTCACCCTAAATGCATCATTTAAAAACTAAACAAAAACAAAAGACAACAAAAAGTCCCACTAAAAAACCAAAACCCAGAGTATTTTAGAAAAAGTGTATGATTAAAGTTTCTTATCAAATTTTAGAGGGCTTTTAGAGGGAAAAACCACGCCTGAAGTTATGCTAGGACTCAACTGACAAAGTCCACAGCTGGAATCCCAATTCTGTGCTTGCACAGAAATCCGCATGAAACCACTTGCAAAAAATCAAAGTGTAATTGTGACATTGGGAATGTAAAAATGTGTGTTTTCTAAAGTGCAAGCTGTCTTAAATATAATCACTGTAAGCAAAGACTTAATTAACCCCATTTGTAAAAATCTGTTAGTCTAGAGCAATTGGGAATTTTGTGGAAATCAAAAAAACCATGTATATGCTGCTTCAGTTCAGAATCTTGTCATAGTATAGGCAAACAAATGACATTTCAAACACTTATAGCCATTAAATATAAATCAGTATCACACTTCATCTGCCTAAAGTTTAAATTTTATACTGCACAGAAATCTAAGCCTAAAGAAGCCAGGGGTGGGAAAAAAAAAAAAAAAAAAAGGAAAAGGCACATGCTGATAGCTGAACTTACACTCACTTTCCTTTGGTTTCACTGAAATTAACAGTCTTGAGAAACTTGGGAGCTGTGCTCACAGTCCAGTTGCCATTTTTCAGCCCCCTTTTGATTATCAGGGAATTTAGGCGGTGTTTTTGAACAGTTAGATTCTTCAAACCATAGGCTGAAGTTGGTCGGGTCAGTGAATACACAGAAGCACTGCAGACTGGCAGTCCAAGCAGTGGCTGCAGACCATGGCTTTCCTCCATTTCCCAGCAAACAGGAGAGGAAATGCATGGTTAACACTGTGTTAATTGGTACATCAGTGTGTCATCCACCAATGTCCATTTTGAAAGGCTTACCTGACCCCAATTAAGGAAAAGAGGCTCTATTAAGTTACATTAGAAGCTTCAAGAGGACCGATGCTAATGCAGCCATACCAGTGCTAAGAGAAGTATTTAATTCAGCTTTTCATCCATACCCAGCTATGGGCAAGGCTGAAGCTGCACACACAGATTCAAAAACTGATCCTGATGACAGTTGTTACTAGCAGATTTCCACTTTGGAAAAGGTCAAAATATCACTTTCCATACCATTCTGTAAATTGTTCCCAGTTATGTCAGCAGTTGAAGGTGGGCTAAGTAATCTGATGCCAACAAGACTGCAAACTGACAGGTAGCATGCCTGATGAAAAGTGACCCACAGACAAAAGCTGCTTCTCTTCCAGTCAACTCAGGTGATATTTACTGACTCTCACATAACTGGGCTTAGGTAATGTGTTTTGTTACTGGAAAGACTTCTCCATTTTACTTAATCTTCTCTCCACAAAGATAAAACCAGCTATGAGGTGGCAGGCCTAACATCTCTAGTTGCTTGAGGAGGCATTTGATAAAGCAGATCTGAGGGAAATAATGTTTGTTACTGCTCTTTACAAGAAAATTCTGTGTAACAGACACTAACACTTAAAACAGTAACTTTATTAAGTAAGGTTCACTGAGGAAAGCTCTTCAACAAACAACATTTACCATTAAAAAAAAAACCCAGGAGACAACAGGGCGTACAGAAACTAAAGGGCAGGATTATAACCAAGTTAGAACATTCTACAGGAAAGGTTGGGATAATGTACAGAAAATGTCAGTGGGGATTTTTTTATTCCTAAGGTAGACATCTGAAAGTCTTTACCAACATACTATGTGTACATGCGTGGTATAATGTGTGTGAAGAACCAGACAGAACAGGCAATATAAGAATTGAACTTAAAAATGTTGAATCCCTCCAATTAGCAGTAACGTTCAGCAAAGGGAGACATAGGGTGCACAGAGAAAGGGAAAGCTCTGTAAGTGAGAGACAGTAACACACAGACTGATTTGCATGCTGGAGCTCTTCATATCCTTAGACTTCTTTGCACCTTGATCTTAATTTTCTCCAGCAGACCTCTTTTCTCCTCGTTGACTTATGCTCAATTTACACACACATGCATTTTCAGTCTCACTTCCATACTCAAACCAAATGCAAAAAGTCTTCCCAGAAAAATAAAACTGCACAACACAAGAAAACAGAATCCATTGAGAATCAAAGAAAATTATATTACATTTCCAATCAATTGTATTAATATATTTGTCATTCATAAGGTAGAAGAAATAGGTTGTCAAAGAGTGCATGATATCAAAAGACACAAAGGACTAATAATGTATCAAGTGTTCCACCTAGTAAAGAAGAACATGGGCAGGCAAGAGAGAAAAAGGACAGTAGGAAAATCAGCATTTATGGTAATATAGCATTAATCTGATGGCAAAAACATAACGTTCAACTTTCTCAACATTATGGCAAAGATGACTTTAGTAGTCACAATTTGGAGAGAGTCAAAAGGTGACTGGAATACTTGGAATGGCTACAATATTACAGAAAGTTTATTGGGACAACAGCAAGTCCTAAACAAAGAAAAAGATATAAACATCTTTCATATTGTTCTTTCCTCTTGGTTTAATCTGAATAGAACTCAGTTGAAGGAGAAAGTTGATAGAGGTAAATATGTCCCCCCTGACACCAACCAGGTAAGATGCCAGAGAGCAGTCCTTCTTCAAGTACAGAGCCAGAGCTGTGGCAGGGCTGCCTTGCTGGTGGACAGTGGTGAGCTCAGTCTGTTTAGTTCTAGAGAACATCATCCATAGGCATATACAGAGAGATGTTTGATGAAAAGCCCAACAAGTGATCACAAGCTCTAGTAGCCTGTGTTGAAATTAAGATTATTTTTCTGAAGTTCATCCATTCTTAAACACAACTAAAGAACACAATTTCACACCAATAAAAGACCACAAATCAGGATTGAAACCTCATGTCTTCTAGAGGTATTCTTTAGTTTCATCACAAGTTATTGAGTCCACCTGCAAGACTCAAACACATGTGGCCCAGTTCATGTAAGAGGTCCCATTAGGTGGTCATAATGTTTCCTTCTGGCTAAAAGTATACATATACACTTCATATGTGCGACTCTAAAGGAGATCAAACCAGGGTTTGACCCTACCTTCTTGTTTAAATGCATGACTGGAATACTGGAAACTAGTTAAAGTGCAGTTAGTTAAAGTTAGTTAAAGTTCAGATCAGAAACCTACTACTACTGTTTAAGTATTATGCTAAAACAACACTCTGTTTTTTATTTTAATACAACTAACTTGCTTACTTAGATGAAAATCACCTTTCTTCCATACTTGCACTAATACTACCACAAATCTTTCTTCTAACCTAACAAGTCCCCTTGGTCACTTTCCATCATCACACCCACATCCCAGGTTACAAGTGTTCTGCATCAACATCTGTCTAGGGTACTGTCTCCTATTTCAGCTGCCTCAGTAAGCATCTTTTGTTAGTCCAACATGCACATTCTCCTCTCAGCAAAAGGACTGCCATTCCTTCTACAGTAAAAGAACTTCACTGTGATCTGCAGTGGAAAGCGAACTATGCAGAACTCGGCATTACAGGGAAGATTTGAAGCAAGATGTGGACCAGCTCACCAAGCAGAGAAGTACAGAACCAGACAACTAAAAGGAGAGCTGGCACTGAATGCAGATCAAAAACCTTCTTGCCAGAGCTCCCAAACAGTAAACCGAGTATTTCTCCCAAGCAAATGTAGTCAGGTGGCATTTGGCATAACCACCCAAAGGCTTAGGGTAAGAAGGACTGTAAGAGAAGCTGATAACTACCAAGCGGGTACATTCAGTCTGATCAGTCTGAGCACAATAAGCCTTTAGTCAAAAA